TTTCTCCCAGTTAGTTCCAACTAGTTTCCCTCCATGAAACAAAAGCAGTAACAAGCAAAATTATTTTAATACACTGCCATACAACAAATAGATAATGTACCTACCAACCACCCCCCCACACACACGCTATATGGTTTGAGCATCAGATACACACGAACACAATACATTTGCTATGGTTAAGACAGAACTTAAGCCACAAAGATAGCTTGCTCCATACAGTACAAGAGATCTACAAAAAAAGGCAGGCATAAAATTGAATTCTTGTAAGCCTCTGTTTTAACTACATCATCCCCTTTAGGAATTCCCTGTAGTAAAGAAATTTCTTTTGATAGAGACTTTTTTTCTTTTTTAAAGAAAGCTCTAACATAGGAACAAACACTGCTCTCATTTTTTTGAAGTGCTTTCAGATTTATGCTGGCCTAAATGTGAACAGAAGTTACCCTATAAGTTTTAGAAATACTTGGCTAGACACCAAACACTGCACTTACACAAGGCCATATAATCACCTGACACTTGTAGCTGCCTTGCTGATTTTCCAAGAATTTTAATCCTCTTTTCCTGAACCTATCCCTTTAGTGAGGAAATAAGTTTGTTCTATTACTTATACGCTTGCTTTGGAGACAAACAGTTTCATTTATCAAACAGGAAAATAGTATTTTCCACTCTCAAACATCAGAAATTGAGAGATTTCTTTGTATAGCAAGTGTGGTTTGTCATCTAAAAGTGCCTGTTCCTCAACCGTGCCCTCCCAGGCTGCTTCTACACATTTAAAAGCCTTTCTACAGAATAATGAAGCTTCCCAGCTCTTCCTGCCAAACGGACAGATCATCATGCCAGCAAGTAATGCACATAGCTGGGGCACAGCAATTACAAGACTGTGCAAAGAGCAGACCAGAGATAGCTACTCGATGGGCGGAGGCAGAAGTAATTTGAACTTTCTATTATCACAGGTTTGGGGTTTATGGAGCGTTTAAAACTAACCTATTCACTTTGCTTTAGTTCATATTTTATGTCAGATATGAAATGTAATGAGTCAAACCCCTAGCCCCATGAAGTCAATGGAAGTTTTAGCTACAGACTTCAAAGAAAACAAAATCTGTTTCATTATTACTCAAAATATCACTCTGATTAGTGACTATACAACTGGAGCTATTAATTCATAATGATTCTAGTGTCTGGGTTTTTGCATGTGTAATTTACACTTACATCCTTTGCAGTAATTAAAGGTCGCTAAAGGGACAATAGAATGTATTAAGAAGTCTCTGAACCACAAATTGTGGGAAGCCAGAACAATACTATGGGGAATTACCACTTCACTTTAAAAGAGATTATTGCATGTTTTTCTTACAACAACAGAATAACAGATTGGTTGAGACTGGAAGGGACCACTGGAGGTCTTTGGTCGACCCTCTGCTCAAAGGACAGTGAACTAGAGCAGGTTGTTCAGGCCATATCCACTCAGGTTTTTAATATTTCCAGTGATGAAGACTCTGCACGCTCTCTGGGCAACCTATTCCAGAGTTTGACCACCCTCACAGTAAAAAATATTTTTCTTATTTTTAAGTATTTCAGTTTGTGCCCATTGCCTCTTGTTCTGTCAGTTCTTTGCAGTGGTGTCACCCTGTAGTTGTACATATATTGGGGGAATATTTGGAAATCTCCACTGTTGCAAAGCCACCAGTGTAGCTCCACTTCAGTTGTACAAAAGATCACTCAAAACATTATTCACTGTCAATCACTAGCGTGTCAAAGCAAATTTAAATTCCCACCATACTCCTACATAAGCACTTCCTACTATTACTCCTGCAAACAGTTTTTCCCCCAAAACCAGAGCTATCTCATAACACTTCTATACTGTTTGAGGTTCCAGAAACCAGAAAGGGCTTGTCATACAAAAGGAGTGGAGGGTGGGTGAGGAAACGAGCTGTGCCTAGAAAGTCAGAGCAAATTCTTAGAAAAATTCTGTAGCTGCATGATCTGTAAAGTAGGAGAAAAAGGAGGAGGGCATGAGATTAATTGCTGGGTAGAGCCAGAGATGACTCTGCCGCAACTACCTTTCTTTGCTTTCCAACACTCTCCTTCCTTAACATCAGTAGAACAGCAAGAGGGGACTACAGGCTGCACGCAGGGCTGCAGCTCTGGCACAGATGGAACAGTAACCGCTCCCAGCAGCCTAATACACTTAGCATCTGCTTCCTTTGCCTGTGCCCAAAACCAGTCTTCTGTGGAAATTTCTCTAGTGCAAAACCGACTGGTAGCCTGTGCTACACCAGGCATTTCATTGTTCTAGCACTTGTGCAGATACAACAGCTGAAGTAAGAGGAGAGCAAAAGGACCAAACCAGTGCCCAGGGACTCCTATTGCTACCTCATCCATCCCCCTCTGCTCTGACACAACACAACTGGAGGATGGAGTATGTGAGGACAAAAGTCAGTTGCCTAAAGCAAGCACAACCGCAGGAGAAATTTCCTGTGTGAACATAAGGGATTCCATATTCTTGCCTAACGCTTGAAACACCCACGATCTCCAATATGAACGAGTTTTGGTGACCCAGAACTCAGCTGCCTTCTGTGGGGATTATGCAGATCAAGTATGGAAACTGTCCTGTGGTACTCATGAAATTCAAACTCTGATGACAAACCAAAAGGAATTAAATATAGAGTTGCAGTTATTTACTGAAATTCCTGCCTAATTGAAACAGTTAAGCAGAACGGAAAGAAAGAGTTAAAAATGAATCTGTTGCTCTCTACTACTAAAAACCAGTTTATTAATTTTGTTATTTTCAGTAACTATATTCTTCCACTGAAAAAATGAACCTCCTCAATAAAAAAAATGCAGTTTTCAAAACTTCACTACCAACCTTACCATATTAAAAAATTATCTGAAAGGTCAGCAACAATCTCTATTTTTGTCTTTATCTTCACTTTCCTAAAAGTGCAGATCTTTTGCATCCAAACATATATCACTTCTGGGATGCATTATGTATGACAGGGAGTAATTAGAAAATTGTTTAAAATTTTAGAACCAACTTCAGTTTCTTGCTTAAAAGATTTTCTGACAAATAGTGCGGTTGTTAACTGCCGATTTTCTAGTGGGAAAACTAAACATAATTCCAAACTATGATATTTTGTTTTCTCCATCCCATCTGAAACATTGTTCCCAGCTAGTTTATTAAACACCGCATTTATCTCCAACTCAGCAAATTTACCAAGTTAAGCAGGAATTCAAACTTCCATTCCTTCTAAGGACCAAGCCTGCAGAAAAACATCTGCCTGGAGATCTGTGAATTTTCTTCTGCATTGTGAGAAGCACATACTGGCCAGAGAATCTAGCTTGTACATCAGAACAGGCACATCAAGACCCTCTAAAATTCCCATGTGATACTGACCTCAAATGGAAAATGTTGAGAGTTGAATTTACATGAAATAAAGCATGTTAAGTCAGTTGCTTAAAAATAATAAAAGTAAATCAAATTTTAAGGACATGTGTTTGTCTGTCCATCTGTCTGTATCTTGACCAAGTGGGTGAAAATTAAAAAAAAAAAAAAAATTTGTTTTTTTTTTTGTTCTATCTGGAATGAAAGAAAAAAATAAATTGGACACTGCTTTAGAAAAAAAGCTTCCTACTTTCATTTAGCACTACCTAAGACCTTCCATGAATAACAATGGAATTTTTTGTAAGTAACATGAATTTGTTTCACAATTAATTTTTAATTGAACCTGAGCATCTTCAGAGATATTTTCTGTAGGGCCTGCTCCTAACTCCAACAGCCAAGTAGTGGAACTACACAAGAGTGTCTCTGCTGCAGGAGATACAGCAGTGGCTTCTCAAAGCAGTATGCACATTTTCATAGGGTGGTGCTGGCAGTTTGCAATACAGGCTAAAGCAGGAATACAGGTATGCACTGGTAATGCTAATGAAACTAATCCTGATTTCTTTGGAGGGAAGCTCATATATTATAAACCGCTTAAAAGAGCCTTTTCTTTCCTTTTACCTCCAATATGCCGTAGTGATCCTGACCAGAGAGAGCACTGTAGCTCAAGGAGCTAGTGACCCACACGGCAGCTAACCTGAGGAGGTTCACCAGGCCTGTGCTGCACACCCAGTTTGACCTCCAGGCCTGTGCTGTGCAGCTCACACGCCTTGGCTGCAGGATAAACCCAGCCAGCTCACTGCAACCAGCAGCTCCCGCTTGGGACCAGTGATTCCCCCGTCTACGTGTCCTTCCTTTTATCTAAAAGTGCGGCAAGGTGTTCTCTTGCAAACATGCTTTCTCTTTGACAGTAGAAATGATGAATTGAGCTGTTTACTTGTGAGAAAAGCCTGTAAGAGCTCAAATAACCAAAAAGGGGTAAGCCTTTCTAAAATAAGAGCTGCACAGCATGCTGCTCGCTGATCAAACTACTGAAAGTTTTGGAATGCAGAAAAGCCCACTGTACCACTTTTACTGACAGAAGTACAAACAGGGGCAAAAGTAGCAATTTTTTTTAACATGCAATAGCACTTATTACTCCATTTAAAACTCTACTTCATTTTTGTTTCAGAAAACACTAAGCCTTACAGAAGCTAATGCAAACTGTTTTTAAAAAGCTTGTAAATACTTTGTTCACAGGTACATACATATATTTTCATGTATATATTTAAATTTTAATGTGATAATGACTTGAGAACTGTAGGAGTGAAGTATGCTGTGGAAACAATAGTGGAATCTAAGGTAAAACCCAGTATTCTGAAACCAAAGTTAAAAAAAAAAAAAAATCAACCCACTAGAACATCTAAGATAACAACATTGTACAAGTGCTTATTTAAAAACAACAATCAATCATTCTATAGGTATTCTTATTTCTTACATAAATCACCTTAAAAATTATGATTTTAAAGCAAGATTTCATAAAACAGTTGTTCTGGGGAGAAACTGTTATTTGCAGTAAGAATTGATAAAAGCATTATGGCTTTCTACTGAGATTTACAGAAAGGTAGTCATTGTCTCAAAGCAGTACCAAGACTTATTTCAGATTTATTCAGATGCACGTGATCATTCATATTCTTCTCTTTGGGGCAGGAAAGGAAGGATCAGATGTTCCTCCTAGTTATTGTGCTCCCAAAACACTGTGGACACAGGGAAGTCTGAGCTATGGTTCAACCTGTATTTCGCTTTAGGTGACACCAGGAAGTAGCCACATCTATGACTTGACATCTTTACGCCATCTGGAAAAAAGGTGATTTCAGTGAGAAGAGGGACAGCTCAGTCCCACTAGTGTAAATATAATCAAAGAGATCTGCAGTAAAAAAAAATGTAAATGGAAATGTAAATGAACGACCTTCCCGTTTGCCTTCACTTCCTTCCCAATATTATTTATTCCACCTAAATTTCCCTCTTCAAATACCTAATATTTCTCTTACAGCGTAAGCCTTTTTCAATGAGAAAGTCATCATGATAAATTAGACTGCTGCACAGTTCACTGTTCCTGCTCACAGTTCACTGTTCCTGCATGCAGACTCTGATATGCTGTAATCTATTAGCACACAGCTTATTCAGAAACCTTTCATTCTGATGTATTATTGTTTACTTAACCATAACAGTATACTTAACTCAGCTACTCTGCCTAAGATATGAATCAGCCCTACAAGCAGTATAACCTGCTTTGAAGCCTGGAATCAGTTACTGGGTTGACTATTAATTTGTTAATGATGTTGCAGAACTCAAGAATTCTGAGAGTCTGTTATCCCCCAGGCTACAGTACTGTAAACATCAGAGTATCCTACTCACCATTTTTATCAAGGTAACCCAGATACCAAAAAAAGAACCTCTAGGAGTATTTTTTTTTTTTTAATAATAATGTTTAAGTACAATAAATAAAAACATGTTGCACCTTCTATTTCTACAAATAAGAACATGTATTTACATCTAGTCTACATCGGTAAATTATGGCTTAGATCTATGGCCAGGAATTGGGGTGTTAGAGCAGCATGATCAGGAGGATGAAATATCACAAGTGCTGAAACTTGACACAGTGAGCCATACATGGAATCTTCACAGCTGAGAGCCCCAGGACACAAAGCAAGTACTTTGTAACAAGAAGGCTCTGCAATGTGTCACAAAGGAAAACAGTGACAACTGCTGCTCAGGTTTTCAGCTCTTCAGTGAAGGACAGGCATGAAGTGGGTGTGAGGTGGGGCTCTCAGGTGATCTACCAATACCAGCCCAGCAAAACGCAAATGTGGAACAGATGCAGCATGCCAGCAAACCCCTGAAAAACAGCAGGATAAGCTGTTCTCTTAAAGCATCCTGATTTTTTTGATCAGAGGTAGAAATACAAAGATAAATAGAATATGAGATTTTAAAAATACTCTCATATGCATGGGCTTACCAGAGTCTTTCAGCTTTTGTGAAACCCTTCCTGGACATATCAGGAGTTGAGGGAGACAAATAATTAAAATAAGATCCCTAAAATGTAATGCTTGTATGTAGTACAACAAGGACAGACCATGAAAGACAGGATCCATTTGGGATGGGCTACTTACCACAGAGCGACCTGGAAGAAACTACAATCAGCCTAAACTCATAAGACTGAAACTTTGTACCACTGCATAGGCAAATTACGTCCAATAAATATTGAGGGGAAAAAAAAAAAAAAAAAAGGTCTTATGGTCTTATTGACTTTTCAGGAATAGAATTTAAATTAAACGAGGTGTCCTTCTGTCTCAACATAGATCATTTATGGACAACAGCCAAAGACCAGATACTCATTAATCTTGTTGAATAAATATGGTGAAGGAGAAATAGGTAGGAGAAAGACTGAAACTCTAAATGTTCTTCATGCAGTCATGCTGAAATGAAGAATTTGAGAGTGCTCACTTCTCTCCTGTATGATCCCGTGCTCCACTGACAAAACTAATAGTTTTCAAATTCAATCCTGTCATCTGCTGTCTTTGGCAGAAGTGATATAAAAGCGTGCATTTCCTGCAGTATGCTTGTAGGAAAAGTTAAAAAGATGTGGCTGTGATATCCCAGCCTATAGTGCACAATGTGTTGCTGTGTGATGCTACTAACATTTAAGAAGCAAACAGGACATAAGGAACAGTAAATAGGTATAAGTGAATGTAGAAAGGGAATATTGAATAAACTGTAACATTCATCTTGTTGGTAAGAGATAAATTATTGCCAATTAGGCCATTTAATTAAATAAATGTTTTCTGCCACCTTGATTCAATTTAAAATAATCGCTTTTTGTCCAGCTCATATTTTCTTCACATAAAGCTACAATTAGTAGAGAGTACTATTCATAGTCTTTGAAGAAAATTCATGTATCGTCTGTTCTCATTGATGGGAAATAGTTGTCCAGCGCTTTAAAACCTCTGAAGGAAGGATGCTCATTAGATAAGGAAAAAGCAGATATGCATGCAAACTCTTCAGAACTCTATGAATGAGAAATATCTAAGACAAGGAGTAGTTGCTGCTCTGATCCCAAAGAGTTAATCTAAGAGTAAGTAAATCCAACTTTTGTAACTGTAGCAACCCCTTTTGAAGTTTTAAAGACTGGTAACTTTATCATTAACTATCTGGAACATCAGTGATTTATCTAGTACTGATGTACACTGTCCAGCTGTAGGCAAAGGTATTTGACAATCATGGTCAATAGTATTATACCCCATGCCAGCCTGAAGTCCAGTCCAGCAGTAACAAATAATTTTTTTTCCTCACTTACCGTTAAAAGTAGGCTGTGAAGTATTTTATGATTTCTGTATTTCTGTCTTAAAATGTATTTTAATTGACTCAAACTCTGAATTTAATTCCATACTTATTATCGACTACCCAGAAAAGAAAGTTGTTTTTTCTTCAAGAGGCTAGATATCAAGCACAATAAGCTTTTTTCCTTCCTTCTCCCTCAGTTGAAGATTTGGTTTTACAATACAGGCATATTTTGAATGCAAATATGATGAAATTACTGTAATTTTCACCCCCTTTTTTAAAACTGTGTAAGAACGAACAGCAATAATTATTAGAAATTTAGAAAGAATTCTCCTATTTGGCAGAATATATTTACAACTAAATATATATCAATATAATTTAACTCAGAGGATGATCTAAATAGATACAAAACATCCGACTTGATAGCAAGGGATACATTAGAAAAAATATATATATCAGGGAACATATTAGAAAATATTAGTGAATATATAAACAGATACCAAAATGAAATGTTCTTTAAATATCAAATTGGAACACAGAACACATATCCCAATCATTCTTTTACTTTTGCTATACATTCTTTTAAAAATAATCAGCTTGTATTTTTTCTTTAATGTGAAGACATTAACACCCAGAAAAAAAATTTAGTATATGCAACACAACTGTTAGCCAACAATTTTCAGCTGAAGGAAAACATCCTGATAAAGTGAAAAAATGCTGACTTGCTTTTTGCACACTTTCTTAGTAAGCAATTTTTATTTAAAAAAATCCTTCAATGAAAGTCTTTTTAGTACTTCCTTAGCTATTATTCTGATTTTTGTTATTATTCAGTTACAGTCCTTCAATAAGAGCTTTACCTTCAAGAATAAGTAACTGATTATTCAGAGCTCTGTATCTCTTTAAATTTAGTAGTTCATGTTGTAAGTGCATTACTATTTGAATAATTACAATGTATATTAATAGGAGCGATTATTCCACTGAATATTTAGCTATTTTATAAACCTGTAGATTATAGCGACTCTACTACCAGGCAACAATGGCAGAAGGAAGGAGTCCAAACAGTCCAAGGATTCTCTTCCTAAAGAGAAGACAAATATGACTCATGTCATATCTGGAGCTAAATTATTTTTTTAAACTGGATAAATTTAAAATAAAACCTTCTTGATCACATTTTTCAGCTTGTTGTCCTGCATATGTAGAAACATTCAACCACCTTTTGGAATTCACAACCACGTATCATATACAGGAAAAGAAAAAATACAATGAACATGAAAACAGGGAAATGAGCGACTCCACTCATTGGTGTTTCCAGGATAGTCAACTTATTTCCACAATTTCAAAATATAATTGTCAGATTTACCAAACCCCACTCATTAATGGCAGTTGATATTAATAACCATACAAACATATCCATATATATATCCAAACATGCCAATATTAAGTGCGACAACCGTGTAGCATTTTGGAAGGGGATACATTCAGCCCTGGTACAAGCAAAGGAACGTGTTAACTGGACACTTAAAATTATGTGATTGAAAACTATTTTTCAGTTCTCTGTTTTTCCTTTCCCAACAGAGAATATGGAACTCCACATCAAATACCTGTGTATGCTATACAGTATGTCTGATGAAGTTTGCCACCATCCTGAGGCATCACGATTGTCTAAGGCTTGTCTGCAAGAAATGCAGCAGTGTTATTGCAACTCCTTAGAAACTTAACTGAGGCCAAGACACGGACACCACAGTCTGCTTACAATTCACAGCCTAGAGTCCTCTTTTAACTGTAGGATCCAATTACCATTCTGTTAAAAAAATGGAGCAGGGCTTGATGTGTTCTGTTAAATCACAGCCAGGATAACAGAAGGAAGTGAGAAAACAAACGCCTCCCATATAGCAACCTATTGTTGCTGTGTATCCCCATTAAACAAAAAAGATTCAAGTCAACATATGGCAGAAAAGTGATCCTATCCAGCAAGAGACAGGGCTATTGAAAACAGACAACTCTGCTCCGTTTCTGCTAAAGTTGTGCCACTGTGAAGCAAGGAATTCTGTAGTCTGTAGGAATAGAAACGATGTGTGAGATTTATCCCAAGGAACAGGGCATTTAGCAGGGAGTGACACATCCTCATCTCTAATTCATGCTCCCAAGACAATTTAAATTCATGCAGTCACTCTTTAAAATAAATTACTTGGAGGCAGGAGATGGGTTTAAACACTCAGACAGAACCAAACTGAATATTCCAACTCTTAGTAATCTAACAGATAGGTTGTTAAATAAAAGGTTATTCAATCTTCTCATCCTTCATGTTAAAAGCAAGCAGCTACACCAAACTAAGAATCTCTGAATGTGTGCTTGCTGTGGAATGGGAATACTGACTAAATAGAGTCCTTGGACACTTAAACTGAGGATTGTAAATGGCTGAATGGAAAATAGGTGCTCAACTGCTCTAGCTGCTGCATGCTGAACATGCACAGAAGTAAAATCCTAAGACACTCTAGAGATAAAAATTAAAATCAAGGAAGAGCCTTCTGATTTTAGGCATCTCCTGGGTTAAGCAGCAGCCGTGAGAGGTTTCTCAGATTGTGTTTGTGGATTTAGGCACCTGAATTCTCCCTAAATCCTGCTTTAGGTATTCAAGTCCTTTATTTGATCTAGCCAATAAACTCTGTCTTTACCTGGTTAAGTATTTTAGATCCTATTACGTTTTGCCTCCCTTTTTATTTTTAATGAGATACTTATCTTTCCAGTACGTAGTTAAGCTATGTGCAGTTTGGGGTTTTTTGTACTTACTAGTGCGTACATAATTACTAAATGTAATCAAATAACTTACTAAGGGCCTTATTTCAAAATATTGAGAACCCACAGCTCTAATTTTCTCAAAGGGAACTACAATCATTTGGAAAACCCAAACTGCAGCACTGCACAGAAATGTCAGAGATAGTGGTAGCAGTCTAATCCAGTTCAGCTCACCTTGACTAACTTTTGAGACCAAGCTGCAAACGCAGCTTTGTAGCTCACACCTAAAAAAAACCTACTCAAAGCCAACTTCTGCCCAACTCTGTGTTCACAAAGGTTAGCGTTTGTTTTACTGCAATGATGCTGAGTATTTTTCCATTGAAAAGTCTGTCTGCCAGAACTGTCTCACTAAAGCCCCAAAAGTCTACTAAGCAACAAAGAACAAACTGAAACAAAACAAAACCAAGTTGGTTCTGAGCATTCATTATTTCTTAGCCAGGGCTGAAGTGACTCAAACATCATCACCCAAAGTCTTCAAAAGCCACTCAAGAATTCCTTTTTTTTTTTTAATATGGTTTGAGATTACCATTTTTTCATGTTTGTTTTTTCTAGAAGGCATTAAGTTTCTCAGTAGAACAACTAGTTCTCAGGAAAAATATGCCTCTTTAAAAAAAAAAAAAAAAAGCATGAATCTTATTTGCTTAATCTAATCTTCCTCCAATTAATTTTATTTTGCTTTTGCTACACATATGTTGGGAAAAAGTTATAACAACTGGATAGCTAGCTAGCTACCTTTAAAGAATTATAGGGAAAATAGCCAGAAAGCCATTACCACATTTCTCTTAGAATATAACTACCTTCTTTGGGTTAACTACTTTTTCTTGGGATATATGCCAAGAGAGTCTGTAAGAATGGGGCTTGACTGCAGATTTCCAGTACACAGGTATTAATTTTTTAGGTCCACTGCCTGTTCCCTTAGCCTGGGTTGGTTCTGCTTCATTTTGTTTCTACTGCTGTTGACTTCTAAAGATCTTAAATCAGAATAAATTTGTCAGATGGACCTAAAGCAGGGTCAAATACAACTTAAACCACTATTTTATTGTCTTCTCATGTTTAATTGGGTTGTGCATGCTACTTGTATAAGGAATTGCTTATAGAAACATCCAATAATGGCTTAAAATGAATACAAAAGGAACGTACATCTACCTCATTGTACTGAAGGCAGAGTAATTTGTAGGTACCTTTCTGAATGAGGATGACCAAGACTTACATAAGCAGTTGTAAAATACTGCTCTACAGCAGGAAGGAAAAGGGAAATCCCTGAAGTCTTTCTCAGAATGTTCCATTTGACCTGCACAATGGCATGGTTTGGTTTTGTTTTAAAGTATCATTCATCCGACCCTACAAGAGTTTAAAAACAACAACCTGGGGTTTTGTGTGCACGCTATTTTTAATGGAGTGGTGGTGGAACTGTGTGTGCTATCTAATCTAGTAAAAAGTTGCATGTCTTTTTTTTTTTCCTCTTACATAATTATCACATGCGGATGGTAACACAGTGAAAGATTAGAAAACTGAGTTTTTTTCTTGTTCAGTAAAATATGCCGAAGGTGAAATAATACACCAAAACCAAAGCTTGAAGAATCAGCAGTAGCTTAAAAATGCAAGAATGACCACACTGGGTAAACACCAAGGTCCAACCAGGCCCAGTACCCTGTTTCCAACAGTAATAAAAATTAATGTCTAGAGAATAAGGACAAGGTGAATGTGGAGTCAGGTTTCTTCCCAAATAGTCCTCCAGATTCCAGAGATCTATGTCTCAGGGACTTCCTGATGTGAAAGTGATTGTTTATATGTAATGGATTCTTTTCTACAAACTTCTCTATACTCTTCTTGAACCCAGCTGTAGTATGCTGGGCTCCAAAATTACTTGATATCCAGAGGATTTCCTCTATTCTTGCAGCATACCGCTGACATATATTTATGAACAAATTTGAAGTCTGTATTTTTAATCTCATGAACTTCAGCCTCCTCCAACCACACAGAACAAACTTCAGCAAAAATAAACCTTTTGTCCATCTGAAACTAGACAATTTCGTTTCTCCATGCATAGAAGCCCTGAGTTTCCAAGACAGACCTAAGACAATAAAGGCAACTGTGAATACAGAGAACAGCACGTAGTGCAAACATGAGGAAAGAGTGAAGCGTTCCAGTGACAGTAAGTATTGCTAGCAGTAAGAGCAAGCTCTGAAGAAAAGTACTAAAGACAGATTTCTACAACTGGTGGGAGCAGTGTAAAGTGTCGGGCTCCCTACCCATCTATTCAGCCATCCTACCCCAACTCCCTTCTTTCACTGTTTTTAATTGTTTTGAAGTGAAAGATGATGGAAAAACCGCAACTCTTCTGCTCCAAGACCCTAAAGCTGGCAAAGCCATGAGTATTTTGCTCCTGTACATTGGGAATTATGCAAAGTAGCTGACTGTAGATGACAATACTGCTTGAATCATAAGTATAAATGCTAGCATGTGAACTTTTATAGGAATCATTGGAAGTGTCAACGGTAGAAAGAAGCAGGTTTTAATTTCTACTTCATCATTCCGCAAAGGACAACCTTACTATCCTAACTCCAGCTTTTTAAGGAAGACCCACTTGATCTTTGACCTGTTTTACTTTTCTTCTCCATTTCCACTGGTAATCTAATCCAAAACGCGTAACAAACTATTATTCTGTTTGCTGATGGCCCAACAGCACTTCACAATTTTACTTCTGTCCAAATTCTCTGCTTAGGTCCCTGATACTTGTGAAAGGTCAGCTCACACTTGATATGTCTAATGCAGAATTCACAACCCACTAAAACCACTCGTAATAATTCAAAGTGTTTTACCTTATTCCACCACCATTCGAGCTTACACTACAGGCATCTCTTTTACTCTGATCTTTCCTTAGGCTCTCATTTCCTAACTCACTCCATTTTTTATTGAATTACAGTAAGAGACTATCTTTCCTATCCATGTTTAAAATATACCCATGTTCTCCCTCTTATTTCAATTACTGTTAACATCTTTTATTCTTTGGCTTTAGGAACTTGTAAGACCGTGTAAAGGAGAAGGATGCAGTTTAGAGTGGTTTGAGTTCAGACAAAACACCTGGATGTAATTCCAGATGTCTCGTTATTTCCAGTCATGGCACCTTTGCCTACAGCCCTCTTAACAACCTCCACTATCATCCTCCAGCCAGTCATACATGAAATACAGCTGAAGACAAATATAGCTTTGTTCCGTTCATAAGGCCATAAATGAATTTTCCTGATGTGTAAGCCTTGCTTGGAAGGTTTTAGAGGAACTGTTATATTTATCTGAGACTTCTGGATTTATGACAACCTTCTGACTTTAAGAAAAAAAGGCAAAAAAATAAAAGCAGTGTAGCAACCATAAACGTGTAGCACTTATGCAACAGACTTTAAGCTTTCATTAGACCCTGACATACATCTGGACACCCTAAGCATTTCTGCATGAAAATGCGCGGTGACTACTATTTGGTTTAGGTAAAATTGATCGGGTACTTCCCCATAAGCGCTCGACTTACTATTTTACACTTTGGAAAACATAAAGGTTTACTGCACCAACTGGGTGTTACGGCACAGCCCATGCACAGCAGGTCTACACAATGAAAGCACCGGACCTCATCCTACGGGCATGCGACGCGAAATGCTGGAAACATTCAAGAAAAGAGGAGGAAATACATAAACCCTAAAGACAAAGTGGTTCTTCATAATCTTGTAACTTTTACCGCGCCCTTCATTAAAAAAATAACACACAAGGAAGAGGGGCCAGCCCAAGCGGCCGGAGACGAGTGTGAGCGCCAGCCACCGGGAGGGCACTCGCCAAGCGAAGCCTTCGGGGCCCCGGCAGCTACAGACCCCCGCGCCCCCCCCCCCCGCGAGGCGCTCGGACACCCGCGGGACACCCCCTCCCCTCCCCTCCCCAGCGGCTCCGTCCAGCCGGCTTCGGCTGCCGCTCCCCGCCCCCCAGCCCCGGCGGCGCCGCTACCGCCCTCACCAGAGCAGCCGCTCCTCCTCCCAGGAGCCAACCCGGAGCCCGCAAGGCCCGTCCCTCTTCCCCAGCAAACTACCCTCCTCCTCCTCCTCCTCCCCTCAGCCCGGCCACGGCGCTCCCTCCCCGCCGCTCCGCGCTCTCCCTCAGCCCTGGGGCGGGGCGGGGCAGGCGGCGCTGCGGGCGCCCGGCGGGCTGCGCAGGGAGCGGCGCTGCCCCAACCGCCGGCCGGGCCCCCCCCCCCCCCCTTCCCTCAGCGGGCGCCCCCGCTCTCGCTCCCCTCACGTGACTCACGCCCCGGCCGCCCGGCGCCAGCCCAACCCCAACCCCGCCCCCGCCCCACGGCGGCGCGCGCGTGGAGCGGTATTTTGTAACCCTCCTTCCATCTTGCGCCGCGCCCCCTCCGTGACGTCGCCCGCCGCCAATGGCCGAGCCCGCCCCGGCCGTCAGCTGACGTAGGCGCTTTATGTAAGCCGGCAGCGTGAGGGCGCGCGGCGGAGCGGTTTGAAAGGGGGGCACTCGCTGGGCGCGCGCCGCCGCGCAGGGCGGGGGACTGTGGCCCCGGGTCGCACGCGCAGAGGCGCGCACGTGACCCCCCCCTCTCTTTTTCCTCACTCCCCCACCGCCGCCCGTGAGGGTGCCTTGCTTCCTCCTCCTCCTCCTCCTCCTCCCCGCGCCGCCAGTGCCTCAGCGCCGTGCGCGGAGCCGAGCCGAGCCCGGCGGCCGGAGCGGCGGCGCCACACCCCCCTCGCCGGATCCGCGCGGCGCGGCCGATGGCGTTCTCCCCCGTGGCCGTGGGCTCGGAGGTGCCGCCGGAGCCGGGCGGCAGCGGGAGCCCGGGCGAGGCGGCGGACGGAGAGCGGGAGCTGCCGCCGCGGCCCGGCGAGAGGCTGGTGCCCGGCAGCCGCCTGAAGGAGGTGGTGGGCGCGTCCTTGGCGTCGCTGTGCCTCGGCCCCCTCGCCGGGCCGCAGCGCCTCGGGACCCTGGTGGACTGCCTGGTGCTGAACTACCGCCTGCGGCAGGGGCTGGGCTGCGGCCGGGGCCGCGGCCCCGCGGCCGAGGGGCCGCTGCGCTGCTGCGGCTGCGGCAGGTTCCTCGGCGAGCCGGTCACCGTCCCGTGCGGGCACACCTACTGCCGCCGCTGTCTCCGGAGGAAGCTGCGGGCCCGCTGCCGCCGCTGCCGGGACTGGCTGCTGCCGGCGGGGGGCACCAGCTCGGCCGCTGCCCCGCTGCGGACCAGCGTCGTCCTCAGCCAGCTGGCGGAGAAGTGGTTCCCGGGCGAGTGCGAGAGGGCGAGGACCGGGAGCCGGCTGGAGGAGCTGCTGGCCCAGGGACGCTTCCCGGAGGCTCTGGGCGCCGCCAGCCAGGCTTTGCGAGCAGGTAAGGCTTGTGGGGAGCGGGCTCTTCCTCCGGCCGGTCCCGCTGACTCCCGCCTCGCTCCCCACCCTTCCCCCGGCGGGACCGTGACGGGCCGGTAGCAAAGCGCGGCGGGGTCGGTGGGCTGCGAGTGCGGCGGGGGAGGAGGTGGGCGTGCGTTTCCTTCCTGCCCTTCAGTCTCTCTCCCCTACCGCTGAGGCCGTCAGGGATCGGAATGGAGCGATAAAGAACATCCGAAGTTTTCCCGAGTTTGCCGAGAGGATTCGAGGAACCTCCCCGTAGGCTGGCGGAGTGCAGGGACCGATTGCGGGACGCGTGGCTGTTCGGCCCCGAGTTGAGCATCAAGCCTGGTAGTGGGGTACACTTCAGAGGTGTGGAGGAGTGCCCAGCGCGGGATTCTTCGCGTCTTGGGGGGGTTTTACCCCACACGCTTTTGTGGGACTCGTTTACAGGAGAGTTCGTGGGTTTTGTTTTGTGTTTAGCAGTCTCTGTGCATGGACAAGAGAAATTCTATTGTTGTATTTAACCTTCTTTCCTGACAGAGACCTATTTTCACAGTCTTAAGTGTCACTAAGACAATTCCCAGCAGGCCGGGCCCAGTTGCATAAGCAGACAGGCATGGAGGGGGACAGGTTGTGTAATGGCAGTGACATCATAAGTGGGTGTGGTGGAAGTTTTATAATAGTGTGTTGAGAGAGGGTGCAAAGACGGGAGGTAGAGGCATACTCTTAGACTATCCTCTATCGATTGCAAGCAGTATGTCAGGTACCATGAACACTTAAGATATGGTCAGTTTTTCAGAGTTTAGCCTTTGTAGAGGGAGTCAAATTTGTGTGATTGATATACCTAGGTGGATCCAGTGACAGATGCCTTTGTTGTTTTTAGTCGAGTATGGATTCTTAACACCTGGTGACCTGTGGGGTTCCATTTTCATGTGTGCCGTTTTATTTATGTTCAGAAATTTAGGAATGAGTAATTTTACAGGTTAAGTGTATTACGTTTGTTGTGGCAGCGGAGAAAAAAACAAAAGCTTGCATAAGTCTGATCCTTCCAGTCTGTTCTGGGGAGATACATTAGATCTAGTTCCAGAATAAACTGTTTCCAGTGTAGGTGGGACTAAATCTCAGATACATTTTATACACCTTTTAGAGACCTAATTTAAAGAGGTTCAGTGGTGGCCTTCAATTCTACTTTGTTTGCAATCACGTTTCCAAAATGTGGGATATAAGATAGATGTGACCTGAGAAAGTGACTGATCTATTTTAAATCTCGGAACTGTAAGAAACAGTCTTTTTTCTTTGTGTTCTGAAGTACAGAACACAACACTGACTTACACAGCTCATGAAGAAATGGAGTCAAAACTCAGTGACCTTTAGGGTGCAAACTGATTAATCCATTATTGATCACAAATATTTATGGGGTCCTGTTTCATATTTTAAGATTACTTTGAAATAATAAAAGAGAAAATTAATTCTACAGACTCTAGTTAATCTTTCTTTTATGGGTTTAGCGATACCATTTAGATATCTACGGGGAAAGAATTTGGATTCCTTTTTTTGTGAAACTACGTCTTAAATTTTGGCTTTAACATGGGTTTAAGATCCTTTTTACAGCTATTTTCTGTGTCTCCAGTCCTGAGAACTATCAATATTCCAGGTATTCTGGTGAAGACACTAAAGAACTTAATGAATCAGGATGCAGATGTACATTAAATGTGAATTTAGAGCTGTGGGCTCACAACTACAAACTGATTTCAGGGCAATACAGAACTAATTAATAGCCACTGGTACACTTTATCTTCCTCCAGAACATGAAAACAGTCAGAGATGGAAAAGATGTAGCATAAGAAATGTATTTATGTTTAGTCATTCACGTTCTGTTTCAGTGCTTCCTCACTGCTAGTTCATCCCCTTGCTTCTTTTTAATGAAGAGAGTTAAAAAACTTATAAACAGAAATCTAGTGTCCTAAATAAGTCATTGGCTCTAAACTTTTACTCAAATAGCATCTTTTCATAACTTTCTTACATTTCTTGAAACATCTGAAAGAAAAATACTTACTATGGTGCAAAAGTAACTTCTGAAAAACGTGAGGAATGTTAACATTCATATGGTTAATACATTTCTTGCAGGGTTTGGAATTATTTAGTTTCATTAAAGGAAGTCTGTGGGATTAAAACGCTAGTGCAGCATGTCATTAATCAAGTATCTTGAAACACAGAGCTCTTAGACTTGAGTTTGGTCTGCATCACAGACTCATTCCTGCTTGGAGTGGGCCTCAAGAGGTCTGTTGACCAATCAGTCTCCTGTTCAAAGCAGAATAAACACTGAGTTCAGAGCAGTTTGCTTAAGGTTTTGTCCAGCTGAATCATGAAAACCTACAAGGATGAAGATTCCACAGCCTCTCTGGGCAACCTGCTCAAAGGTTAATTATCTTCACAGTGAAAATTTTTCTCCTTGTTTCAAGTCTGAACTGCCCTTGCTTCAGTTTATAACTATTAATTATTGTTTCTGCGCTGTGAACTTTCAATAAATAGTCTTATAGGTAGCCTTCTCTTGGATTCTGGAAGGCTGTTGGGCTCTGGAAGGAGGCTTCTCATGGGTTCTGTGTTCCAACCCCTGATCATTAGGGTGACCCTACAGTACCGTATTAATAGATACTGTCCCCTAAAGTTTTTCTGCATCGTGGTTGTGATGTGCATGTCTTTTATTTTGAAGAACTTGGTACATTAATAAGAACATATAAAAAGCATGCAAGATCAGACCAGAGATGGACCATTTATTGGTATGCTTATGTTGGCAGTAGCCAAGAATAGATGCTTTGGAAGGAATATAAAAAAAAAAGAATGCATATCGAGTGGGTTTTTGCGTGTACAGCTTTGTATACTTTCCTATTAATGTAATAATAACTGGTATGCACAGTTTGTACTGAAAGTACTCAGTGCCTTTTTTATTAAAATAATTTGTCATTGGGTGTGCTAGATGTGAATGATTTCTGTATTTACAATATATTGGGACTGAAATTGAAAATTCAAGCACAAATTGTGTTTCTGCTCTGTTTAGTGTTTGGTCTAAGGATTTGAAATAGTTTTGCATCTTCCCTTTAGGTGGCAAACGTTAAAATATATGCTGAAACATTGCAAAATGATGTTTTCACAATTACAAAGCCTAGAAATTTATGGTTGTGAAATTGGACATATAAACATAGATCCTTTGGTCTTGCAAATACCTAGACCAGATTTGTTACACGTATTCATCATTCCTTGACTCTGTGTGTGTTCAGCAGCGAGTTGGGGTCCCAGTTAAATTCCTTGCTTTAGGCCTTTGTTTTGTACCAGTTAAATTGGTATCATGCTTTTTTCTTTGGAAAAGAAATTGACAAAATGTTCACCTGCTGCAGACTTGAACTCGCATTTTTATCTTCAAACTACCCCTTCACACTCCCTCTGGAAAAGAAGGCTCAGAGTTCCTCAGGTCACATTATAGAGTTGAAAGCCTGAAAAAGATGAGCTCCCTCTGATTATGGGCAAATAGGTAGCTTATTAGAGAACAAAGACCCACACTTCCTGCTCCCTCTGAAGAAAAGAATTTGATTTGCTACTAACTCTGTTGGACACCAAAGAGTCGAATACAACAGAAAAAAGGTCTGAAGAGTTTGATCTGAGCTCCTGCCTTACTGGGCTATAGCAGTCACAAAACACAACGCCACAGGAAAGCAGGCTTCAGAGTTGTTCTGCTTGCAGAATTAGTGTTTAAGTCAAAGACGGTTTCCCAGACTTCTGTTAATACAAACATTTTATTATGTGTAAAATAGAAACCAAACAAACCAGGTTTGGGAATGTTTGTATTTGAAGAGAAATTGTCAACTCAAAAGACAGGCACTCTGATCAGAAAGACACTTTAGTTTCAGCTGTGAAATCTTGGCTAAATCTTGTGAGTTTTGATTTTTTTCTTAACCCTTTCTTTTCCATTAAGATGTTTTTACATGGAGCATTGTGCATCTAAATGCAGAGCAATATGTTGGAATACATGGGAATGTTGACCAGTTTGGCTTGTAAATTTAAACCAAGCTAATGTTGGAAATTATGAAAATTTAAACTAGACATTTAGAATAGACTAAGGTAGAATATCAAGTTGAAATGATTCCATCCCAAGAAAACCTTGTAGAAACAAAGAACTATTTAGTTTTAGTATTGTTTACAATAGACCAATGTTTGACTCGTTTATCTCCTTCAATGAAATACATGGGTGTATTTTTTAAAAAAAAATAAAGAACAAAGCAGTGTGCTGGCATCTTTTCCAAGCAACAACTACAATTAGTTGCGTTATGAAAACCATAGTCTTAGTGTCGTGGAGATGGGCATGCTTCCTGTGTAGAGGTTGCTTTACTAAAAGTGCAAAATGCTGTGTGTTGGGCATGAGAACTTGTCTTCACTGAAAACATACTAATGCTTTCCCACTGCAGAAGTTCCACTAGTATAGCTCCTTGCAACGCGACTGTTAGTTTGTGTTAAAGGCTTTCTTTTCAGACCACACAGTGATAAAGTCTACTTCTAGTACGTAGCAGATGGATACAGTTGGGAAAGTGGCCTCTGTATCTCCAGCCATAGTTGGAAGGGGTTGGGCATTATAAAACCCATGTCAGTCTAAAGAAAAATTGGAATGTTTGAAAGCAAACTTTCTAATACTTGGACTTTTTTAATACAAGTGTGGTGAATTCCCAGTTTTCTGTGGTTTTGAATGGGTGTACTGTAAAGCGAAGGTCTGCCTAGTCTTTATTTTTTTTTTTGTTTTGTTGTCACAGCAGTACTGAGCAATACTTTATTTTGTCAGCCTCAATGTTAGATATTTTAAAATGTATTTTCTTGTTGCTGCAAGATACATTACAAGGCCCAAAATTTGATCCTTAGCTTGAAAGACATGAGCCTGGAATTACTGCCACTTTTATTACCAAAACACTAGTTGGTAGGGGAGAATGTACTCCAGTAATTTTGAAAGTATGGCACAAAAAAGTGGTTATGACATACCACTATGAAAGCATATCTAATTAAACCCCCCAAATTTCTGAATTCTTACAAATGTTACTTAATTTTTGTTTTCAGATTCCAGTGACTTTATGCTAAGGATTTACAGAGCTGAGTCGTATGTTGGCCTCCAAGAATATAAAACAGCCATAGAAGATCTAAATTTTGTTATCTCTAAAATGCCAAATTGGCCAGAGGTAAGTTGATATGAAATCTTAATTTTTCAAAATCTGTGTTTGTAAAATTAATGAATTCTGAATTATACTTGCATCAAGTCAAGAATCTAGGTCAGCTGCCTGAAACCTTATCTTGTAAGACATGAAAAATACTAAAAAGTATCTTAAAATAGTACACTATGGGACAGGCTACTAATGAGTATGGCAGGTTAGAGTTGACTGACGAATATACTTGGAGTTGGGATAGTTTATGGTGATGTAACCTGTAGCAGCTGGGGTTTGGGGTTTTTGTTTGTTAATTTTTATTAAGAGAAGTACACTTTGCTGGTTCAGCTTAGAAAGTTTTTCTTCAAAAAGCCTGAAGAAATTCAGTGGGAAGTGAGCTTTGCAAATAGTGCAGGCAGCTGGGGAGTCAGTGGTCTTCAGAACTGTAAGACACTGCATGTTGCAGCACTGTCTAAACTCTGAGCACAGCAGGACCAGCAAGATCTTGCCCCACAGGGGGAAGTAACTGCTGCTGTCTTGGTATCTCCTCTGTTCAGCAGTTCTGTGGCTACTGCAGATTCAGAGAGTATCCTACTTTTCGCCTGTCAGCATTGGTAGTACTGTCCACCTTTTTTCCTTGTTTGGAAGGAAACCTCACTTCACTTAACTGAGCTTGGTTTGATGGATTCCTCTAGCAATTCTTGTCTCTCTAGGAAAAGAAACTGTCTGTAAGAGGAGGATTAGCATACTTCCCTTCTTCAGGGTGCATCTTAATAAAACGGCCTAAATCCATCAATTATGAGGCATGCCCTCGTCTGACAGCCTTGTTTGATGCTAGTTAGTACTGGCAGTTGTTCTGTAGAAACTGCACTCTGGGTTTTTTTTTGTTTTTGTTTTAAAGTTCAGTTTCTGGCCTGTTATCCAAAATCTCATATACAGCTAGATATTTTTGTTTTATCTAACTTTTGTTAGATAACTGTTGCTTATCTAACTTGGATTTATATTACTGCAAAGACAACTTAATAAAACTGAGGCAAATTGGATAAGGGACTTTGTAGTTCCAACGTCACGTAGGTAGGTTCAGCAAAATTCAGTAGCTTTTTCTCCAGCTTTTTTTTTTCTTTGAGAGAAAATAGCATATAGATTTTTTTTTTTTCTCCTAGATGCTGTCTAGTGTTCAAGAATAAAACATAGTTGGAAGAAGCAATTAAAGTGCATTGTTTCCTGTTAAGAATATAGATTAAGATATATATAAGGAATGCATGGTTGCGTGGATTGTTTTGTTTGTGCTCTTCTTGTGCAGGCTAGAATCATAAGCCTTTTAATGAAACAGAGGCAAAAAGGGTATCCTGTAAGCTGCTGTATGAAGTTCTGTAATATTTTGCATTTCTTATCCCTCTTCTCCCCTTTCAAAGTGTCACAGTAGGGGGAAATTAAGGCCTTTTGTGAATTTAGCACTAGTCAGGTTTTCAAGCCTTTTTGTAAACCAAAACAAATTAACTGGAAGGAGACTAACACCAGCCTATCCCACGAGTCTTTTCAAACACACTAGTGAATGTATCTTAGGCAAGGAATATAGATCATCTACACGGTGCACAGCTGATGTTTGTTGAAGAGCTACATTCTTTTTGTTATGCAGGGTTCTAATTCTAGATCTGTCGTAATGCTTGTAAGATGACTACTGCAGTTCTTCATACTCTCTAGAAAAGTCTTCATGGTATCTGTTTTTCAGGTCTACTTCCAGAAAGGAAAAGTGCTGCAAGACTCTGGCTTTGTAGGTGATGCCTTACAACTGTTTCTACAGTGCTTAGCCCTTGATGAGGACTTTCTTCCAGCCCAGCTAGAAGTAGAAAGGGTAATTTTATTTATGAAACAGGATTGTTATATCTGACTTGATTTCTTTATAAAGCTCTCATTATGGTAGACTTTGAGCATCTGTAAATCTTCAATACATACAGAGAAGGTTCAGGTGGCAGATAAGTTTCTTTCAAGATATATCATATTATGCTGAAGACAGTCCTAATGGACACATTTTAAGTACATGTTTAAAAGTACCTATGCTTTAGAAGTTACTAAATAAAAATCTAGAAAACTAGAAAGCAGGCAGCAAGTTAAATATTCCAAGTTGAACTTCTTTGTGCTCAGAGCACAACAGATTTTCTTTGATAATAAAAATTTATGTTGGAAAAGTGGCATGATACTGAATCGATAATGCCTAACTCTGAATAGCTCACTTGCTTGTAGTAGAAAAGATTTCTAGAGAAATTTCTTTTTAATAATTTAAGTATGTAGATTTCTGCTTGTTCTCAACTGCTCTTTCTCTGTTACTGCTTAAATAAAGCTCTATGAGGATTACTTTATATAGATTAAATTCTTATTTTTAGTCTGTATAATAAAGCTATGTCTAGATCCTTTTTCATTATTATGAACATATAGCTGTTTGTTTTCTAGACATTGTGTGATGTGCTGTCACCAGAGAAGTTAGGAGAGAGTCTGAAGGAATCTGCTTGGAATTCACCACATATTCGAAATAAACCTTTTATACTTGGTTCTGAGGTGACTGAGTCTTACAGCAGCTTACAGCTTTGTCCTGAGCCGGTAACAAAAACTATTGAATAACTTTTCTCTTAGGCTGATATGCAAACATCAGATGTTAATATCCTTATTTGTCATACTTCCCAGCCTAAATATCGACTTTCTGTATTTGGCTAAATTGGAAGAAAATAATTGTGATTTGGGAGTAATGTGTTTTCATTTGGATTGTTAGATTCCTTATTCCAGTGAACTGTTTATTAGAAGGTACTGAGATTTGATATTAGTGATTTCAAAATAGAGAAATGCAGTTTTTCTTCTCTTTGAAGCAGATGAAGATTTTTAAATTGTTAATGCTAAGCAAATTTGAGTACTGTCTTGACTTACTAATTTCTTTACTTAACTAGTGAAGTAACTGTGGGTATCACTTTGGTTTATGTATCTTTTCATGTTCACATCTTTCTTAGATTTGTGTTATTCTTTAAGTACAGTTCAGTTCATCTTACTGTTTTAGAGTTTAGGAGGATCAGATGTACTGGATCCTGTCAGTGGAAGCTTAAATCGTGCATGGTCTACCCATGCTCTTAATTCAACAAAAGAACTTGCCAAGGAAGATGGATTAAAGAGAGTGTCTTCTGAACCCCTTCTTTCTGGCCAAGAAAAAGGTGTTTTGTTGAAAAGAAAGCTTTCCTTTTCAGAACAGGATACAGCTGTATGTGAAGATGGAAGAAACAAACACAAAAAGCAAGGAGGTAAACAGTCACTTACTTTGAATTGTAAAGTATTTGCTGTCTTGTGCCTTTCTTTGAAGGACTATTTTGTCTTGCTTCTCCTTAGAAAGTACAAAAAGGGATGTGACACTGGCTTTTGGAACAATTCCAGGGAATTTGATCGATGTATCAGATTTTGAGTGCTCTCTGTGTATGAGGTAAGATTTTACCCTTGATTCAGTATTTTCCTTATAGATGCTTGGCCACGTATCTTCTGTTACACATACAGACTGAGGTACTTACAGGTTGTGATGAGTTCTGATATCAGTCAATAATTTTCAGCTTTCTTTTATCCCTGCAGTTAAATGCCTATTTAAACGTGTCACTTGCTATAGTGCTGTATAAAAAAGCATTATTTTAGTCAAGTTGCCTTTTAAATTAAAGTTGGCATTATTAACTGGTAAGCTTAAAAGGACAGGATCTTTTGTGTTAAATGTTAGGGGTGTTTTTTCATTTAATAAAACTATTTAACTTAGTTTGGGAAGTCTAACACTTAGAAGTATTGTCTGTGAACCTTGTATTTATATAGGAGATATAGATATGTCATATAAATGTAGCTGATGTATTTGAAAACTCTTACTGAGTTGTCTTGGGTTTCAGAATAAATACCTTAAAACATATAGTATATACTAAACTGTCCATAATTGTTGTAAGTATGTAACGCTGCTATTAAAACAACTTAGCTCCTCAGAAAATCACTTTATTTTGGGTATTCTGAATCTCTTATGTAGTAAGACCAAAATCTCTGTACATTGGGCTAAATGTTTAGACAGTGTTGAAATGTGTCCAGATTCATCAGAATACAAGAAATGAGTGGTGTGGTGGTAAACGGTAACAAACTGCAGTAGAGTAGAAAAAGTAGAATAAGGAGACATGGGGTTAATTTTTCTCTGTTTTGTTATGGTATTAGCAGTCTTAAGATTTAAAGAGGTTGTTCACAGACTTTTTTAGTAAAACACACATCTGTCATGGTATCTAACTTCTAATAACTTTGTTTCAGGCTATTCTTTGAGCCAGTGACAACCCCTTGTGGACATACTTTTTGCAAAGGTTGCTTGGAACGGTGTTTAGACCATGCTCCTCAGTGTCCACTCTGTAAGGAAAGTTTGAAAGAGGTACCGTGTCTCGGCAGAGCTCATAAATACAAATACTGTATAATTTTAAAGGCTGTATCACTTGAAACCAACAACTTGGATTTACTTGAGTTATGGATTGCTGCTAGAGAGGAAAAATTTGAGACAAATTTTGTCAGTACAAGTTGATTAGGTTTGCCTCAGGGTCTTATGTTTCATGTTTCTGTGACCATCTACTTTATTGGTGTAATTAAATCGTGAGTGTTTGTAAACTTTGGTGATTATTCAGTAAAACCTCTCTGATTTCTGTATGCTTCCCTTATTTGTATGGCTGTATAGCCTGGGAAATCAATTCTGCCTCTGACAAGCATAGAAATATAAACCGAGTTAGACACTTGAGTCCAATGAATCCATAAGAACTTCAGAGCTGTAAGTTTTCATGGGTTTTATTTCATATATCATGGTTTTAAATAAAAGCTGCATTTTCTCAAGCCTTTTGCTAATATATATGAAAAGAACTATTAATATATTTTTTTAACTTGTTTACAGTACCTTGCAAGCAGGAAATACAGCATCACAGAACTGCTGGAGGAATTAATAATAAAGTATTTGTCTGATGAATTATACGAGAGAAAAAGAATTCATGCTGAAGAAACCGCTGAACACTCAAAGTAAGCTTACTGTCTTTTATCTAGAAAACTTGAGATTAGTAAATCATTTTTAGAAATGTTTTATCACTTTAGTGATTATTAATAAATGGCATATTATGGGTGCAAGAAAGAGTATAAAGACATGCTAATTGCATGTCTTGAATGTGTATTTCAGAAAATTAACATTTTTTTTTAACTAGTGTGAAAATAAAAAAATCACACTTTGATAGTAGCAACATGAGGCCCTTAAGTCCTCAGCAAAATATGTTTGCCCTTCTGTTTCTCTTTCTGCAAGCAGAAGTCATGGAGCTTCAATTTTAACTTTGCTGCTGTTAATGGAATTGTCCTCTGGAGTTGGCTGCAGAGTCTCAGATACTTGAATTTCTTTCAAAGTTCATGACAGACATTACTTCTATAAAGATGACATTGACTTTTTTTTTTGGTAATATTAGTGTTTACTTCTGAGTTCTTCAGATATATAAAGCATCATATATTGTACATATGAATGTTGGAAAACCATCTAAAACCATAGCCCATGAAACTTAGGTAGCAGAATCTATACATTAGAATTATGTTTTATACTCTGAAAGGTATTAATGTTAAATACCTGGAAATGTTTTAATACTAACTTGTTTGTATCAATTATTAACTGTACATACTTGATAAAATGGGTTTTCCGAGGCATACAGCAAGGTAAAAATTATACCCTGGGTTGCCTCATGTGATCTGGAATCCATCACTGAAAATAATGCAAATGCTGACCTAGCTACTATGTAGTTATTGCTACATCTTTTTAGTTCCAGAAAAACTCTGACTCTGAGGGCATAATGGCTTGTGTGGCTCAAACAAAAATAAAAAGGAAAAAGAAAATAACTAATGCCCCTGTCCCCAAAACAAAGCCCTTCATTCACTGAGTAGATAGTCACTAACTAGATAGCTGTGAGGCTTACTGTCCAGTATGAAATCAGTACATAGGTATTCAGTCACTGTTGTTAGTATGTTTTTATTTCTTATGAAAGTTATTACAATGTGCTTATCATTAAACTTTGAAAAGAGCGCTTTATAACCTCAGATATAGCGAATACTGAAAAAAACATATTGTCTTGGCATAGTTCAGTGTTTAGCTTTTTAAGCCACATATTTCTTTTGATGTTCTCTTGAAGCTTGACCAAGAATGTTCCAATGTTTGTTTGCACTATGGCATATCCTACTGTGCCTTGCCCTCTACATGTGTTTGAGCCAAGATACCGACTAATGATTCGCAGAAGTATGGAAACTGGAACTAAACAGTTTGGGATGTGTATAAGTGACTCTCAAAATGGGTAGGTTTACATCCTAATTCTAAGCTTCTCATCTCTTATTTCTTTTTTTTAATCATAAAATGTCCTTCAGAAGTATGTAACTGCATTACTGACAAGGTATCTTTTCTAGTTTTGCAGATTATGGATGCATGCTGCAAATCAGGAATGTTCATTTTCTACCTGATGGACGGTCTGTTGTTGATACAGTTGGTGGAAAGAGATTTAGAGTTTTACGGAGAGGGATGAAAGATGGTTATTGCACTGCAGACATCGAATATTTAGAAGATGTTAAGGTATCCAGAATGCTGTCTAAATACTTACTAGTATTAATATCTCAAGATTTTTGCTGCATTTGTCCTTGAGAGCTCTGTTTCAAGTTTTTAGGTCCCTAGACCACTGGAAGTTTCAGTGCCAGAAGGTTGAAGAAATGGAAGTTAGCTTAAATTTTTATTATTATAAAGCAACAAAGAAATACTGTGGTTTTTGTTTGAACAATAGTTTGAAGCTGTACCTTTTTAAAATATCATGGGACTTCTTTACTATTCAGTCATTAGCAATCAAGGTTTACGATGCAATAAATGTATCCAAATATAGTTGAAATTTAATGTCTCTTGATTTTAGCTTAAACACCATAATTGTCTCTCTATCTCTAATGATATTTTCATAACATTCCTCCTATAGGTTGCTAATGAAGAAGAACTAAAGAAACTGAGAGAACTTCACAATTTTGTTTACAATCAGGCCTGCAGTTGGTTCCAAAACTTAAGAAACAAATTTCGCACTCAAATACTTCAACACTTTGGGCCAATGCCTGATAGGGAGGAAAATATACAGGTGAGACATTGTTTAATATCAATTACTATGCGCTTATTTCTAAAAATAAAAACCCTGTTAAGAGCTGCTAGACATTTAAAGGGGAAAAAAAAAAAACCCAAATCAACACTTTTTCCCAACTTTGAAGGCAGTAAGGCTTGCATCTTGCGTCTTGTTTCTCTTGCATCTTTTGAGCAACAAAAGGCAATCCCGTCATTGTTCAGCAGTTTTTGCAGGAAAGGATGATATGCTGCTGTGGAGATAAAACTAGTAAACTTTGAGTTCCAGTAGCATGTTAAATTGCTGGTTTGTGTAAAGCTGTTAGAATAAAAATGGAAAAAAATACGTATTTTCTTCCTTGTGACACATTCAGGCAGTAATCCTTGGCAAAGGGGTAATCACAAATAACACTTTCCTCCGTTCTGAGTTAGTGCCGTAAACTGCTGCAGCTGCTAGGATTTGACAAATGTTTCTTAAGAAACTAGCTGCAGCAGTCTATTTTAATGGTTATTATAAACAATTAGGGAAGACTGGTGAGATCATCCTGAGTGGAGGCTAGAGAAAAGTAACATTTAAAAACACGTTAAATTTGGCTTTCTAAGTGGAGTTACATATCAAGTGGGATCTTATGAGAGCCTGTCCCTCACCCATCTGCTACATACTTTCATGAGACTATATTAACCAATCTGGGAGGACTGTGGATGCTGTGGAGGCCAGTGCATGAATTCAAAAGTGATTTTAGAACAATTTTAATAAAAAAACATATTTAAAGCAACATACAAGGAAAGAGGAATAAGTATAAAACCAGGATAACTAGCAGAGCAGCAATACTGTGGGTATGTCCCTGCGATTTGTAATAGAACACAAATGTGTCAATCGTGCAGTACAGATGCAAGAGAGGAAATGTCATCCTGGAGTGTACCGCTACCAGTAATATTTTTGGAAGTCATTTGAAGTAATCTATCTCTGCAGTGATGGGACCTCTGCTGAGGAGTATTCTGTCCAGTTCTGGGCATGACATCTAAGGCTTGGTGTAGAGAATTGAATAAAGTAGAGGAAAAAGTTGTATAGTATATTTCATCAACTTAGAAGAAAATGATATGTCTAGGAGGTAATGAGAAGGGAGTAGAAGTGGAGGTGATAGAGGAGTCCTCCCAGTATAACAGGCAATTGTAACGAAAACGTTAGGCTTCAACAATATTCAAGCTTTAAGAACAGCGTGACAGGTAATGGATTTAGTTTTTATCAGGGAAGTTTGTTATTAGGTGATTGTCCTATACTTAGCCATCTCTTCCCAAGGAAGCTATGAACTTCCTTTGTTGTCTTTAAAAAAATTGCTTTATCAAGCCTTTGTACTTTATTTGACTTCTCAGTTGGGGAGGGATCAGAAGAGATCCCTTCAGAACCCTTCTGATCTCATGGATCTGGAATTCTCTAGTTAGTGTTAAACTTTAATATTTGTCATCGACAACTTTGTCTTTTGATGTCTTTGTTAGTCAACTATACTACATTGGGTAACCAACTTATCTTTTATTTTTAGGCAATGCCCAATGGTCCTGCTTGGTGTTGGTGGCTTCTAGCTGTTCTCCCAGTAGACCCCAGATATCAGCTGTCAGTTCTCTCCATGATGTCTTTAAAAGACCGTCTGATAAAAATCCAGCATATACTCACATATTTTTCTAGAGACCAGTCCAAGTGACTAACCGCCTGGGTCTTCCTGAAAAGTTACTCTGTTCTGGTTGTAGTAGCAGCTGGAATTTTTGCTGCCTTTGCACATCTAGCACTGGTTTGAGAAGTGTAATGGAACCGCTTTTTCTCTCTCCTCACCCTCCTGACTTCCTGAACCACGTGGTTCTTTGAATGCACACTTTCCTCAACTATGAGAGAAGACCACTGACAACTGCACAAAGTCAATCCAGCTAGATATGTTTTTCATGTTATCTACACTACAATTTGCACTATGTAGAAGAGAACCTTTTTGAGACTTGATAATTTTAGCCACTGACTTTTTAAAGCTGTGGGAAGCGCAGGACTTAAGGCTGACAGTCCAGGTTTACAACAATGAGGAGGTATTAAAGGTTTTGCAAATGTTTGCCTCATACAACTGTTCTTTTGCTGTTTGCACAAATATTTGAAATCTGGTATTGAATGTCACTGTCGGATATTGCTACTCTTGTTGAATTGTTTTGACCATGAATATGGCACAGATTTTTAAGTTATCTTGTAAATGTATGCATCACAAAACAGGTGACATGAACTGTATGCTGAACTGAGAGCCAACTTTAAGGAACAAATGCAAAAAAAACCCACACAAAAACAAAAGGTACTTCTGTCTAAAAATACTTAAACTGTGAATATGGTTTACATACCTAGGCCTGTACATGTTAAAGAGGAAACTGAAGACTAAATGCTAGTACCAGTTACATTTCTACTGGGCTTTTCAGGCTGGCTGTTCTTCCAGAGTACACACTTAGTTTGTAGAGCTTAGAAGAAGGAATCTTAGAGTGTGTGTGTATGTATTGGGGATTGTGCATCCAGGATTTAAAAGCTTAAAGTTTTATTTGAACTTTTTAAGTTGGTGCAAATGTGAATTCTATGCCTTATTCATATCAATAGTAGAGCACACTGCAGTGGCAAGGTTAGCATCATGCTGCCAATAGGTACTTTTTGTAATTACAGGTTTGCATATTTGTGAATATGTCTGATACTGGCTTTCTTGTATGTAAATCATTTGTAAAATATTTCTTAAAACTTGCTTTTGCTAATATATTTAATTTTCAATAAAAGCTAAAAGTTTGTAATATTTTTTAACTTTATCAGAAACCAAAAATCACTTTCATTTTCCATATGCTTCTATTTTGGGATCTTAAGTAAATCCAGAAGTGGCTGTTTAACCTACATCAAGGTTGTGGACACTTCATGATGTAATTAGTATGTACGTAATCGGTTTCTGATTATAGTACGTGTCTCGGACTGATTATTGGTCAGAAAAGTTTTTTTGCTGGTGTCCTGCTTTTTGTATCTACTTTGTTTAAATTAAAGTGGTTTCATGTATCAAGTTTGCATTTCACAAAACTTAGAAGTTGTGCAGAAGTTGTTCTTGCAGAAGTTAGGTATTTCATAGACTTGCTGATCAGATGCTCTGGGCTTGTTCACTTCTGGAGTTTAAGGCCTGAGATATTACAGGCAACCCCAAATCTGCTGGATCATTTTTTATGTGGGCTTCTACCTAGGTAAACTTCTGTGAATGAACCAATGAATTTTAGGTTTAGAAACTTCAGTTTTCTCGATGTGAAATGGCAAGTTTGTGTTTTTCCATCTAACTTGATTTTTTTTCTCTTAGAAATTGGTAAATATACAAATGTAATTTTCTTTACGGACAACATGCAAAGATGGCTGTAAGATAGGTTGGTGGGATTGGCTGTGAAACTTGAAGTGATGATGCTAGAACACTAGTAGGATGTAATGTTTGCTTTGAACCCCACAAAAGAGTAGGCCACATTCAAACACTGCTAGAGGCTTCACAAGACTTGGAAGGACAGTATGCTCATCCTTTTGGTTTTATAAGTCATCTAACCCATTCCTTTGAGCTCTGTCCCAGTGTGTGGGGTGGGGTAAATAACTGCTTAATACTGAAATTTGACTGTAGCCTCATTCACGTCGATTACAAGTGAGACAGGATAGAGCTGATCTGCACAACTGAGTCCTGAACAGCAACATCAGGGAGGCTTAACAGTGCCAGGCACTGCTTAGTCCACATCAGCTGGGGCAGGGACAGTTCCCAGAGAGAATGGTTGGAGCTTTGGCTTTGAGCAGCTCTTCAGGAGCAGTAGACAAACCACAACAGCCTGGCCTGCACCTGGCCACATCGGAGATGTTGCTCTTTCAGTACTGTCTTTGACTGTAGAAACCTGGCTATCAACAACTGGATTTCTAACGGGAAGAAGGTTGTTCCACTTAGTGAGCAGACATGAGATACCTCTTCAAGGATTATAGAATCCATGCCACTTGGTATCACACTGAAATCTGTCCCTTACCCTCTCATTTATATGCTCTTCTACAATTTAATAATAATAATAATAATAAAAAAAAAGCTGTAAAACATTTACAGCTAGGCTGTAAGTTATTCTAAAGCCATTATCAAAACAAAGCAAAATAAAGAGTCCACTGACTTTTGAGCCTTCATTGTGGTGAAGTTACACTTTCCTGGATGCTCATGATTGTGCCTGCTTTTACAAGGAAAGGCCAATAGCAGGATTTCACCATGGATTTAACAGCATAATTGCACCAGTGACAGTACAAATGATGTAGTTTAAATGCAGCCAGGAGTGCCTATGAGGATGTGGCAGGCTCTCCAGGACAAAAAGATTGGAATGTTAGAAGTTGGTAAAGAATTTTTTATATTTCTAGTTGAGGACTTTGGTTTTGTTTTGTTTGGTAAGTAAGATGGAAGAATACCCTATATTGGAAATAACTTTAAAACAGACTCAATATCAACCTGTACTTGCTAGGAAGCTGGTCACTTTCTAGATATTTAAGTGTGCTAGAAAAGGGAAATGGTGTAATGGGAAACTGGGGACAGTGAGGTGTGCTACATTAAGACAAATACAGTCATTTTACAATCCAAATAGAACTTCTCTGGAGCTTGGTATCTTAAATTACTTAGTTATATCATCTATTTGCGTGAGTGTTGGTTCCTTGTGTTCAAGAGCTTTCTGGTCTATCAGCTAGGAATGTTTTTCTTTTTATCAGCATAAAGAGCTATAGAAGGTGCTTGGCAAAGTGGTCTAGTTTCTCCCTGATGCTGCTGTAAGGTGGCGGTGGTTGTTTTGGGGTTTTCTTGTTTTTCCTTTTGTTCCCTTCCCCCCGCACCTTCTTGTGTCAGACCTTCCTTAGTTCTGACTGAGGGCTACGGGTTGGGGCTGGCACATCCCATCCTGTTTCCTATGCCTATTTATCTGATCTGTTTATTGGAATTTTCAGCCTCTTGCACCTGCTGGAAGAAATCCTGGTATCTTGGAAGCTTTGAGTTCCTGTGAAAGACCACCTGTTCTTTTCTGTGAAAGGTTCTGTCCTTGAAAAGACTTGAACTTGATGCTTGATATTCTTCAAGCATCTGTTGAGCTTTTGGCAACTTGTTTGCTGTAGTATTTTTCTGTCAAGATATCTTCCCACGGGTGATGACATCTGTCATCAGGAGGGGAGAGAAAAAAGCTGTTATAGTTATTTCTTTGACCAAGTTCCATGCAAATAGATCTTAATTCCTTCTTCAAGAAGTTTTGAATTTTACCTTCCATGGGGAACAACAAATCTGTCTCCAAGTCTAAGATCATCGTTACGCTCAGAGCATATTCTTCAGCAAGTTAGTCCTTCAGAAAGCTCCCAGCCTAGTTGAGTTGATATTTCATTGTCATCATCATTTCCACACTGAAGAAAGATAACAGGATCTGCCTAAGGCCTGCTGCAAGACTGCAGAGGCAGAAACCCAGAGCTCTAGAGGCAGCTGCAGTGTTGCTGTGGTCCAACCCCTGTTGCAGTTATTTAAGGAAACAAATTGAAACAGTGGGGGGGAAAAGGGGGAAGTTAAGATTTTCCCTTCCTACAGATCTCCTCATGCATGTGGTGGTTAAAGCACTCTTCTAGGAAGTCAGAAAAAAGTTTTGTCCCTCCCCCCCCACTAGAGAGAGGATTAAATTTCTTATAAACCTGGGTGACTAATCTAACCTGTGGAGAGCATGTTCTGTTCTGAGTGAACGTGTATGCTTTGAGATCCTGGCTGGAACATGGATTTTGTGCAGCCTGATGAGTAAGAGGCTGTTCCCTGTCAGGAGCTAAAATGCTTCTGGAAGAGCACAGCAGCAGATGCTTAAGTGGCTTTAGGTCCCTCTCACTCAAGTAGCCATTGCACAGCAGCTCTGAGGAGTTTGGAATACGCACACTTAGATCTGAACTGGAATAGGGATTTGGGACTGCAACCCCATTCTAGAGGTGCTTAAGCTCTTCAGGAAATTCAGGGCTTGCTGTTTAGTTTTTTTTGTTTTGTTTTGTTTTGTTTTGTTTTTTTCAAATCAACCCATTATGAAACGTTAACGTGCTCCCCGTGTGCATGCCTTAAAACAAGTCGTTGATTGTTCAAACAAACTTTACACCTTACTTTCATCTGGGCCCAGAAATTGAGCATTCAAGGAGGTGTGCTCTGAAAATACGTATGACTTTCCTACTGCCATGTGATCCAAATACAGTACAACAGGCACCTCTGATTTTATTTTAAAACATGGCTGAAGATTTCCAACACTATTTCACAATTAAGTTGCATTGCTAAAGAAATAACTGGGGCTGTGAGAAAAGGTTCAAATGCCTGCTCTAGTGAGGGAAGAGCCATGATTTTTTCTTTGGGTATGAATTACTTTAATACCTTTCAAAAAGAAAGTTATTAAAAAACAGGGAATGCCTTAATGCCATCCTCGAGAAGTCTACATCACATCCTCACGTAGGCCTTCAAGTCACTTTTTATTACTCTCCACAGGCAGAACATTAAAACCATACCTTTGGTGTCCCGGAGAGGTGCTTTAACCTTTGAACTGTGGATGGAAGGAGCCATGACTAGTTTTCCCTTCATTTTTACAGAAGAGGTTTTTTGGGTTTGTGGTTGGCTTTTTTTTGGAAATGAAACACTGTTACGAAGGCTGAACACCAGGTGCCAGTCACCTGTAGCTGAGGTAGTATAAGATGTAAAACAAGTCCTGCCCTCTGCACTTCCCTCTGCTAAATCTGAACAGCTCCTTGCTGATATCTTTGAAGAATATATACTGTTAAACAGTTAACTGCTAATTAGGACATAATCTAATCAAGGATCCTTGGTTCCACAGGTGCTTAAAAATTAGATTTTCATTACAGCTATTCCAGCTCAGTTTAAAAAATGCAAATAAATTTCAGTAACCTTTCTATGCAATAGCTTTTGTGAAGATAAAAGCATTTTATTTGAAAGAACTTATTGGGAAAGGTTTTTAAAAATTGAACAACAAAGAAGTAAGTGCTAAAGAACAATTTCTGGCTGAATAAATTCTCGGGTTATTGCATCATTGTAATACTTGGAATGCTGAACCAAGGGGAAATATTTTCATTTTATAGCAAAAGCTCTGTGAGGAACTTCCAGCAAAAACAACTGATAAGTAGCACAACTCTATAAAAGTCCTTGCAGATATGACAGGCATTGCAGGTTTTGCCTGCTGATCACAGCAACATACTGTTAACAGTAGCTGCTGTGTCTTAGTACTTCTTTGTAAGGCAACTG